GTCCCCAAACTTTTAATTTGTTCATCGTGATTTCTGAACTTTAACCCAATGTGTAATGTTATCCATGAACTTTTCATTTGTTCAATGTCGTCTCTAAATTTTATCGCGACATATGTCAAAGCCCCTCATCCAAATGAAAATATATACACTCGTTGAAAGATCAACTAGGCTTTTATACTTCGTATTTTACATAGATTTAATTCAAATGTAGCTTTTGTACTCCGTATTCAACAATATATATCTCTCTTTTTATCGTGACTTATATCAAAGCCCACGATTTTATTTTATTTTTGCTGATAAGAAAAGAATTTGAAGTTCTTTTGTCATTTTTCCGTTGAGGTTATCAATTAAAATGAATATTCAAAACATAGGATTGGCTACCCGTTTCTGATGGTATACATTATCAATTGCTCAAACCATAGGAAGTTTTTCACTGCCAATTGTTGCGTATTTGGCCCATGCTTTGCAGATAAGATACGTCAATGGAAAAACTTACTAGTAAAGTCCCAAACCTTTTGTACAGATATCAATTCAATCATAAACTTTTCAATTTTACCAATTGAGTCTAAACCTTTTGACAATTTGACAATTTAATCATTCCGATCAATTTTAGCCAAAACTCGCTGACGTAGACGCGGACGCAGACGTCAGCCTACGTGACAAGGCCAACACTGATATGTCCACAATTTTATAATGTTTTTAATTCTAAAAATTTTTAAATTTTAAATTTTTCCCTTTCCTTTTCTTTCTGTTTTTCTTCCTTGCCCATATTTGGCGAGGGGCAAGGGCGGCCCTTGCCGGTGGCTGGCCGGAAATCTCAAAGAAAGGATAAAAAGAAAAGAAAGAAAGACAAGAAAAGGAAAAAAAAAACAAATTCAAACAAATTTTTAAAAAAAAAATTATCCACATTAACGCCTATCGTACCATGTAGGATGGCAAATACCAACGTTGCTATTTTTATCAAAATTGGCTAGAATAACTAAATTGATAAATCATTGAGAAGATTTATGACTTAATTGATTAAATTAAAAGGCATAGATTTGAATTGCCATCCTGTACAATATATTTATAACTTTTTTGGATAATTATCCCACACCTCAACTGTAAACTTTCTAGGTAGAGAAGCGAAGCTAATCGTGTATTATTTGTACAAAATGAAAAGACTCGATTTGACTCGCATTATTTGGCATGTCGTGGACGTATCATTAGATGGGACAGTACTTTTGATTTGGATAAAAGTTGACAAATACATGTTGAAATGAACATGTGTTTCTAACCCACTAAAGTCTCCATTCCAAACTTGTTTGGGGTGGATTATGGACCCAAAGTCCATGCTATTGCTTCTCCAGATTCGGCCTACTTCATCATTTTGTGCCTATTAAATTACATTCAACTCACTACAAATTGTTTTGTAGCTCTATGCAAATTTGGGAAAATTACCAAAAAAATCACAAACCTATTGCATTTATGTCAATTCAATCTTAAACCTTTTAATTTGGCCAATTAAATCTAAATCTTTTGATAATTTGTCAATAGTCCACCCGATCAATTTTGGCTGGAAATCGATGACATGAACTTTGGGTGCCTTTAGTGTGATGTGGACAATTTTTGCAATATTTTATTTTTTTTGGAATTATTTATTTATTTTTCTTTGCTTTTTTTTTTTCTCTTTATTGCAGTTGGTGAGGGTCGTAAACCTCACCCAGGCCCTCACCTACTGTGGGAGAGGTAGTCCTCACCAAGTTGGGCGAGCGACAACCTCGCCTAAGACCAGCCACCGGTGAAAATAAAAAAAAAACATAAAAAATCAAAAAATCAGAAAAAAAATTTAAAAATTGTCTACATCAGCATTTTCCATTCAAAATTAGTCGAAGGACTTGATTGGAAAATAGTCAAAAGATTTAGGACTGAATTAGTACAATCAAAAAGTTTAAGAATGAAGTAGGACAAGTCCAATTTTATTATACTACCTAAGGAGGCTAAAAGCATGGTTTGGCAAGATGAACTATAAAGCACAATAGTCATTGGAGAAGGAGACTTAATTCCAAGGCAAAAAGAAGAGACCTTCAATATTACCATATTTTTTTTTCGACAAAAAAAAGAACATAAAGGGGTATCTTATACGTTCCTTGGCCTTATATCCTAAAAAACTTTCAACTTTAGCTTTTGTCCCAATTTTTCCTTTTGTCTCATAAAAACCTCCAACTTTAGGTCTAGTCCCGATTCTACCATATGCTTTTTTTATCCCATAAAAAAATCCTCAACTTTAGATCCCATCCTAATTCTACCCTAAACTTTTTTTTGTCCTATGAAAAATCCTCAACTTCAGGTCTTGTCCCAATTTTAACATCCAGTCCCAATTTTTTACTAAAATTTTTATAGTTTCATAAAAAATCAAAAACTTTTACTTAAGTCACAAATCTACCCCATTAGTACTCCATCCAAAACTTCTTATTGATAACTGAGAGATGGAAAACTCCTAAGCACAAGTTGTTCGAACGTCTCGAGCTCAAGTTCTCCAACCATAAGAGATCGAACATTCCTAAGCACGAGAGATTGATGAGCGCAAAATTACTAAGGGGGATTTTGATAGAGGGCTACTAGAGAGCAGATTTGGGACTCAAGTAAAAATGGGTGATATTTTATGAGATAAAAATAATTAGAGTGAAATTGAAACTGGACCTAAAGCTAGGATTTTTTTATGAGACAAAAAAATTTTAGGGTAGAAATGGTACTGGACCTAAAATCGAGAGTTTTTTATAGAAAAAAATTTATAGCAGAATTGGGACTGAACCTAAAGCTGGAGTTTCTTATGAAACAAAAAAAGTTTAGGATAAAATTGGGATATAACCTAAAGTTGGAGGTTTTTTGTGAGACAAAAAGTAGAATTGAGGCAAAAGTTAAAGTTGGAGGTTTTTTAGGGTATTAGACCTATGTCCCTTACACTTCAACGTGGATAATTTTTAATTTTTGGCCAATAACATGGCGGAATAGTCTAAAGATGAGGAAACATAAATATGCAAACCTTATCCATTATCAAGTCCTATTTAAAAAATTAAATTAAATTAAGGGGATGGAAGCTGCAACTTTGACACCTTACTAGACATTAAGTGTGCGTTTGGTAATATTTCTGTTCTCGAGAATCATTTTTTTAACTATTTTTATTCCTTGGATGAATTTCTGAGCAAAAGAGTACGTTTGATAACTACACAAAATTTCTATTTTGGGAATAGAAAAAGAAAATAATTGCGTTTGGTACGACCCTAAATTTTTTTTGTGACATGGAATTTTATTTAGTTTTTTTAATAATTTTCTGAGATTTTTCTAATTTTTTTTTTCTATTTTTTCCTCCCTTCTTCTTCCTCCTCGTAGAGAGAAGGGCCTATGAGGCTTGAACTCACCTAGCCATCGTGAAATAATACATGTATTCTATATGATTCAAGTGTTAGTAATCTAATCTCAATCTAACATATTAACCATTTTATCTTTAGTGAGCACGTATCATAACGTAATTAATTACAAACATGCAAAAATCCATATATTTATAAAAGCCGTTACATGCACTAACCAATCATGTCAAATTTTCCTCAACACTTGCCCACTATAGTAATAAGGACATCAACATATTCGGTAGTTAGACATTAATAATGCCTTTCTTCATTGTATACTTGGGGAGAAAGTATATATGTCTCAAGGGTTTTGTTGACCATGTATTCTAGCATCATGTTTGATGCTCAAAAAAGTCCATTTATGGTTTTAAACAAGCACCACGGGCCTAGTATAGAGAGCTTAGTTCGTTTCTCGTAGATCTTGAGCTTACTCAATCAAAATGTGATGCATTATTGCCTATCTAATGCAACAAGGATGTTCGGATTTTCTTTCTTGTATATGTTGACGATCTCCTTGTGATAGTTAATGATTATATGCAGGTGAACAAAGCAATTGCCCGCTCTACAACTATTTAAACTTAATTTCTATTTCAATTACAAAAAAATCCTATGTGGTAATATCAAAAACCTAGATGGCGTCTTTAATTACCTTCTTGATTTGCTTCAGAATTTAACCTTGATAGCTAAATAAAAGAATTTTATTTCGATGATATTTATCTTGTAATTAAAAAAATCATTTAAAAAAATTATATATTTGAGATCGGTTAAAAAATTAAGAAATCAAGGCTCCATTTCTTTCGCGGAAAATGAATTAGTTGAAATTTTTTTTCTAAAAATAATTGTTTGTATCACTTAAAAAAATTAGCTCACGTAAAATGTTTTCGTTACCAATAACAATTATTATCTAAACATTTTTGTGGACGATGAAAATATTTTTTGTTTATTTATTTTTATAAGCGACTTAAGCAATCATTTTTACAAAAATATTTTTCAAATAATTTATTTTTCGTGAAACAAACGGAGCTTAAAAAATACCTTTAATTAAAATTAGTCCTGAATAAAAGCGTAAATGCTGCATCATGATTTATATAAATGAATGTCATGCCACATCGCACGACGACAAATAATCATACTCTCTTTCTAATAGTATATTCATATAGAAAATTAGAAATAGATGTGACCATCATTCGCAACTTAAAAATCGGTCAACTTGGGTCAAAATATAGTTTGTTTACTGTACTTTATAATTCATGCCTCGTTACACAGAAGGCAACGCCATTGCTTTCCTTCCAAAATTTCAATATAACAGTTATTTCAAACATAATAAATTGAGGACATAATGTATATCAATCTACATATACCGATCTATATGGTTTGGAAGGTTTTTTTAATGGCCTCACACGTCAAATAAAAGGTCAAATTTAGAATCATTAAATTCATATATAGGAATTTAAAAGTTAAAAGTAAAATTCACGAGAACCATTGATATTGCGCGCCAAGCCAGAGCAAAATTCAAGAGTTAGAACGCTGGACAATGCAAAACCATGACCGAATCAAAGAAACAAAAACAAGCGTTATTCTTGAGGCGTCCCGATCATCATCCCAAACCCTTCACGAGCCCGTAACAATCGCAACAATGGCAAGTTCGATGTACGACAGCTGCATCCCGTCGCCGTTCTGCTTCGTCAACGGCGAGCTCACGCCCTGCTTCTCCTTGAACTGGCTCTCGCACATGTCCGCATCCGTGGTCACCGAGTTCTGGACGTCCAGGTAACGCTTCGCCTGGTACGCCCCAACCGCTTCCTTTGCGGTCTCGGCCGCATCCGAGTACAGGTCTGAGCAATCCGACAAGCACTTCCGGACGTACGGGTCCTGCTTCTACTTCAGCAGCTGCTGAATGTAAGAGCCCACGCTCGTCACGCTTCTTTCTAACAGGGTGAGCGCGATGGCGCCCAGGCCATGGAGGTCCGCCATGCGGCTCTTCGGGTCCGACCCGAGGGCCTTCATGCAGTGGTCGTAGTTCACGTTCGGGTTCGAGGCCGCACACTTCTTGCAGGTGTCGGAGACGACGTCGTTGGACGCCGATTTGGCATGGAAGAGAACGAGAGAGGAGGCTGGGAAGAGGGACAAGGTGCAGAGTGCACTATTCATTGTTCTTTTTTTTCTCTGTTTCTTTTCCCTCTCTTCTTACTCATTAGAACGGGTTGATGAAATGAAGACCATGTAGCACTCTATATAAGGTGATCCATGCTCTGTATTATGGAAATGAAAAGCAATTTAGGTTACAAATTCCTTTTTAGGAAATTAAACCTAATTTCAGAAGGAATAAATCAGGACCAAATTTCGCATTGTAAATTAGATGGTCATTGCGACCCAAAAAAATAAATAAATTAGATGCTCATTTGCTCCTACTTTGTCATTTCCACTGGCCAGGCTTGCCCCCGCCGGCCAATGGCGAGGGCGAGGCCGAGCCGCGCTAGATCTGGACAGGGCTCGCCCAGCCATGGTGCGGTCAACCTTGCTGGCCCTCATCTCCAGCCGATCGCCATGGTCCGGCGACCGGCGGGAGGAAGAAGGAAGAAAAAAAAAGGAAAAAAAAGAATTTAAAAAAATAAAATGTTTTTAAAAATTATCCATGTCAGCGACGGCCTGCCAAAATTGGCCAGATGGACTGAATTGACATAACACAATTGTAATAGGTTTATGACTGAATTGATAATTTCCCCAATCAATTCAGATTAGGGAAGAATTATAACATGAGTTCAAAGACACTTTGGCAAGCTCCTGTAGCAAACTTCTATAATCTAAAGTGGAGGTTTGACAAGACTAAATGACTATTAAACACGTAATAATATATACATAAATATCTCATTTAATATCCTCTTTGTTATGGAAATTAATGCTGAATGATTTTTTAGTGATAAATTTGAAATCTTTGATAATCTTCCTTCTTCGTGTGGAATTTGCAATCAATATTCAAACTTTATTTCCATTTGACTTGAGGAAACAAAATCCGATGTGGTATTATCAAAAACCTGTACGGCGTCTTTAGAGACCCTTGTTGAAATTTGCCTTTAGAATGACTCAAAGAAATGCATCCGCTTTATATAATCTTATGAATACTAAAAATAATATCGGTCTAAACTTGATAGTTAGATAAAAGAATTCAAAAAGAAAAAATCAAGAAACTGAATGACAAATAAAAATTATTTATTTGAAATCTTCTACAAAATTAAGAAATTAACACATACCTTCAATTCAAGTCGGTTATGAATAATAGCAATTAAATGAGTCGCATATGGCAATCATGTATGGCTTAGATGTTAGCATTCAAATTGGGTCAAAATGAGTTGTCCCGTCCGTAATTGACGTTGACAATTTTTTTTTAACTTTTTAGTTCTTTTAAATTTTCTGATATTTTATTGTTTTTTCATTTCTTTTTCTTTTTTTTTTCTTTTCTTTTTTTCCCCAATCGTGGGCCGGCAACCCTTGCCAGTGTCGGGTCCTCGCCCGGATCCAGGAGATGGCCACGACCCTCACCTGTGGCCATGGCACTCGAGAGCATCAGGCCATGGCCAATGAGGGCCGTGATGACCAAAACGTGTCCTTGTTCCTCTCAGCTAGCGGCGACACCACGCCTTTCTCCGTGAATCCATCCTCACACATCGTCAGCGTGTCCATGACCAAGCTCAGATCGACGTTCGCGTCCCGTACCTCTCATCCTTATAGGCTCCGATCGCCTCTTTAAGCATCGGGACAGCATCGGAGTACAACTCCAAGCATTCTTGCAAGCATGCTTTGATGAATAGGTCCATCCTCTTGCTCTTCAGAAGCTTCTTGGTGTAAGACCTCGTGTTTGGTCAAGTTATGCCGCAACAGCTTGATGGAGATGAGTCCCAGCCCCCAGAGGCCGGCGCGGCGGCTGTTCGGGTTCGACTGGAGCGATGCGACGCAGAACTTGAAGCTCACGTTGGGGTCTTCTCGCGCGCATTTCTTGCACGCTTCACAGATAATGTTGGTGTTACCGCCATCTGCAGATGCAGCGTGGAGGGAGGTGAGAAAGAAGATGAGGAAGAGAGAGACGGAAGGACAAGGACTCATTTTTATGTTTTTTTGTTGAATGAGTTTGGATGATGTTGGAGCAATGATTTATTAAACGTGTGTGTATATATATACATGATGATGTCAAATTGGAGCAGTAATTTATTATATATCTTGTATGCGTGGTGTTGACACCTATTTTTAATTTGCCCAAAATTAATTACACAAAATTTAGGAATTAATTTTCTTTAATTCCTAAAACAAAAAAATATTTCTATTTAAATGCATTGCATATAGACATTAGGCATATGTGCATTAATAGGGCCTATTAGAGCATATTTTCTTAAATTTTAAACAAAAATTTTAAAAAAAAATTCGAGTCGGGCCGGGTCGGGCCGGGCCGACCGGCCCATTTCTTTTTTTCCTTTTCCCCGGGCCCGGCCCTTTTTCTTTTCTTTTTTTCCCTTCGCGGGCCCGGCCCCTTTCCTTTCCTTCTTTTCCCCGCCGCATTGGGGCTGGCCCGGCCCTGCCTTTCTCCTTCCTTCTCCCGTCGCTCTCGCTTGCCTGTTTCTCCTCTGCTCACAGACGGCGGCGTGACGCACGCACGGCGCCGCTTCTCCCGTGGCTCGGCCGGAGGAAGGCCGAGAGAGCACGCCTGGACCGGGCATTAATTGCCGGTCCGTCCTCCTATTTTCCTAGCCTCTCTCCCCACTGTTCGCCTCTGTTGCCTCGGCAAGCCGGACCCCACTGCTCGCCGCTCTGCTGCACCGGCACGCCATGGCCACGAAAGTCGTGGGGTGGCGTAGGCGGTGCTGGCCGTCGTCATTCGACGCAACTGAGCCGGGGACGCCGCTAAGGCCGAGGAGAGAGAGGCCCCCGGTGGGTCGGCCATTTTTAGAAAAAAAAACAGAGAGAGCGTGAGAGCGTGAGCCGGGAGAGACAAGAAGCCTCCGGCAGCCACCGCGCCTCATCCACCCATCCCCGCCGCCGAGCCGACGGCGGCGACACAGAGAGAGAGAGAGAGTGGGTCGGGCCGTTAAAAAAAAAAAAAAGAAACAGAGAAAGACAGAACCGAGAGAGGAGAGAGAGAATAGAGAGGGAGAGAGAACAAACCGAGGCCACGCCGGAGCAAGAAAGACAACCACGGCGTCGCGCGTCGCCCACGGAGCGCCTGGAAGGCCACCCAGGCGCGCCGTCGGCCGGTGAGCCCCGCGAGAAGCCCTCTGTTTTCCCCTGTTTTTAGCGTGGTTAGGCCGGGACTCGAGCCGGCCGTTTCGCGCGAATCTCGGCCCATACCGTCGTCGGTGCCGATCCCTAGTCGCCGTCGGAGGTGAACCCAAGCCGCCGAGTCGACCGGATCGCCGGAGGAGGTCGGACTCCTCGTTTTTCCACGCACCCGCCAGGTGTTCGACGAAATGCCTCAATCAGGCCGGTTTTTGTTTCATCGCCGGCCGGCGAACGGTGGTCCGACGGCGGTTCAGGTGAGTGGCACGGCCCAAGAGGCGGTCCTAGTCGGGCGATTTGGGGGCGGCGCTGGCCTGGGTCAGCCGGCGGACGGCCAATTTTGGCCTCTCCGGCGCCCCCCTCCCCGCGGGTCTGTGTGTTCGGGTCGGATTCGACCCAAATCAACAGATCCGACCCGGGTCAACGCCCGGGTCGGATCCGTTGACTCGGGTCGTTCCGAGGCCGGATTCAGATCAGGCCGGTCAACGCCGGGTCGGATCGTTGACCGGGTCGGTTCCGACCCGATCCGGATTGACCGATCCGACCGGGTCAACGCCCGGGTCGGATCCGTTGACCCGGTCGGTTCAGGCCGGCCCGGATCCGCAACCCGACCGGTTTAATATTATATTAATATTTTTATTTTATTTTATTTTATTTAAAAAAAAATTTTAAAAAAATTTTTAAAAAAAAATTAAAAATTTTTTTTTCTCTTCTATACTATTATTTATATATGTATATATATATATATATATTTTTTCTTTTTCTTTTTCTTTTTCGAAAAAAAAAATTTCAAAAAAAAAAAAAGTTTTTTTTAAATTAAGTTATATCTAAGTGTTTTAATTTATTGTTGTATTATTATGCATGTTATTGTCTTGTTTAAATTAGACAATTCTGAGGTTGTGCGGTAGTATTTTGCATGTTAATTTTATTACTGTTATGCATGTTTTTAATACAATTCCATGAGCTGTTGTGTTTTTGAATGTCATCTGACTTAGTTAAGGTTAGAACCTTAGGCTGCATGCATTGTTGTGTTCCTGACTGCTAATCGTTTCTGATTATGCACTCGCTTGATCACCTCACATGTTAGGAGAAAGGTCCTAAAATCAATCCAAATTGCACGACAAATGTTTTGAGAAATGAACAGGGGTAAAATGGTACCGAAAGGGCATTAGTTATCCAACTAGTGTAACCAAGTCCCCGAACTCATTTAATCTCTGGTTCGTAGGAATAGGGTGATTCTCCCATCACCCTATTTGGATTTCTAATCGACCCACCCCAAATCGATTAGTGGCGACTCCTTGATATAAACCACTTGCATGTTAAAAACTTAAACCCTAAGTCGCGATATGGTATGGGCTTGGGAGAGCCCGAGTTAAGTCCCGAACCTAGACTTAGCACATACCAGGCGAGCCCCCCCTTTTTTTGCATTGTTGTTTAAAAAAAGGGCTCGGGAGTTCGGTCGCGACAGACTGGCGACTCCGCTGGGGACTTGCATTTTTTTAAAGTGGACTTAAGCCAAAAATTTTTATCTTGTTCAAAATAATTTTTGTTTGGCAGCAACGACTCAGGTATGATCCCGACATTAATGTGTTATTTGTCTTGCGGGTTCGAATTGATTGTTTATAATTTGTTGTGCATGCTTTAATGATTTAGCACTACACCGTTGCACACACAACCATTTGCCGGACTGGGCGCGATAGGGCATTTTAGGATGGTGTTAAGAAAGATACGACCTCGACGCGAGTCCGCGATGTAGAGGTTGCCTTTCTTTTCCCGAAATTTATTTCTAAAAATCGTAAAGAAGTATCTTTAGCGCTATTCGCGTGACTATAAGATATTCCTTTCGATTTGGCCGAGGTTAAAGGACTTGACACCAACGCGAGGCT